GTCCCCGTGTCCCCCCGCGGCCCTCCCGTCCCCGTGTCCCCAGCCCGCGCGTGCCCCAGGCCCGGGTGTTTGGGACCCCCTCGAGCCCCGTGTCCCTCAGCCGCGGCCACCCCTGCCCCGCTGGCACGGGGCACCGCGGGCCGGGCTGGCCGCTCCTGTGAGCGCGCGTGGAGCAACCAGGGGTTAAATCATCCCGAGACCTTCTGCGCCTTTGCTTTGCTTCTCAGGATTATCAGCCTGGTTTTACCCTGTGCTTAGATAACGCGTCCTGTTTCTGTGGGACTTTAGACTTCCAAGTATGACTCTCAAAGTTGGGTATAATTCCCTGTACAAACTCACTTGAAAATGTGACGTGTTTATGCAGGCATAGGGAATCTGAGGCATAAGAAGGAGAGTTTTCTGTCTTATTTGTGTTTAATTATTCAAAACACAAATATTTATGCTTCTGAACTAACATCAAGGAGTACAAGGGAGTCATTATTTTGTCTGCTTTCTTTGAATGTTGCAGTCATGTCTGAAAGGGACAGCAGTGAAGATCCGAAAGAGGAGGCCTCTTGTGAAGGTGGGAATGGTCAGAGACCTGAGGAACCCGGCAGCCCCGCGAGCAGCGAGCGGGGAGCGCAGGAGCGCGCGGCTGAGCCCGCGGCTGGGGAAGGAGCCGGGCACAAACCCCCCGCTCAGCCTGCGGCCACGGAGAAGGCGCCGGCTGCAGCGCCCCAGGTACGTTTCTGTGCTAACTTTGAACCACGTGGCTTAAAACTCCACAGCTTTATGCACAGAAGAAGTGTGATCGGAAGCCTCGCTTTCCTTCTGAAAGTTCACATCACCGCTTATGTGAAAAAAAGAAGAAAAAAAAGATTAAGGAAAGTGGTGTGTCACAGACTTCCTGTGTTCCCCTCCTTCCTTCACCGTACGTACGTGGATCTCACTTTTCTGTTTTTCTCCATTAAAGGTCTCAGATTCTCCTGCTGCAGCTCAGACGGGATGGGGGTATTGGGGAAGCTGGGGGAAATCCCTTCTCTCCACTGCATCTGCTACGGTTGCTACCGTAGGTAAGGCTCGTGCTGGCACTTGGTAAATGTTCAGCTCTGCAGCTAGTGCTAAATGTTAAATTAGTGCTAAATGAGATGAAGGAGAAGCATACAATGAAAATTACTTCTAAGATTTTAAATTTTAATGTGTTTATATTATTTTCCGATGATGTTTAGAAACTCTTACAACTTAATATAAAAGCTGAACTGAAAACCCGAATTCACTACATTGGTCAGTAAACAAGCTGGACAGTGATAACTTTTACTGGTCACCTACTGTGTTTTGAATAGTAAATATGGATATACATTCACAGTGCTCCTCTTGTTCAGCTGAGAGACATAAAACAAAATATATAGTTGTATGTAACAATTAAAGTAATATTTCTGTCTTTTCTAGGTCAGGGCATTTCAAATGTCATAGAAAAAGCAGAAACATCCCTTGGGATTCCCAGTCCCAGTGAAATCTCTTCAGAGACTAGAGATGCTACGAAAGGTCAGTTTTTATTATGTAAGAAAAATACTGGAGTGTTTGTCAAAGCATATCAGTCCCCAGACAGCACTGTCTTGTTCTGCTTCTTGCATATTAGGGTAGATACCTCTTTATTTGCTAACGTGATACTTCATTGCTTCTGCTGTCCCTGTAGAGCCTTGCGGATGGGGAAGCCGTTCCAGTCCCACGCCGTCCCTGGCTCACGTGTGATGTTTGTGCTCTCAGCTGCAGAGCGCAGCAAATGAATTTTGGGGGTGCAGTGAGGAGTTTAACTTCCCTCCTTCCGCCGCAGGGAGCGAGCAGCCTGGGGACAGCAGCCCGGGTGCCGGTGACGATGGCGCTGCCTTTCCTATCGCCGGCGCTCTCGGAGTTTTATCAACCATCTCTACTGCTGTCCAAAGCACAGTGAGTGAGTTGTCAAGGGTTAAAGGGCTTAACAGAGCTTTGGGGTTTGTTTTTTGCCTTGTTTGAAGCCTCATATCAGGAAACTTTCAATATAGCTTTTGTGGGATGCATGGTGAGATGAGTATCTGAAGGCTTCTGACCCTTCAGACACTCTTTACTCTATGTCTTACTTCTAACTGGCACCTTATGTGTAAGTTGTCTTGAATTTTGATAATTCTGAACGAAATAACACAGAAGGCTATCAAAAGAGAGCGCAATGTATGTATTTTCAGGCATGTCACCTCTATATTCTCTTATCTATGACCTTTTTCTTCAGTGTATTAGGCCAAATGCAGGGTCAGACTAATTCCTGGAATAATTCCACTGACTTCCACAGAGCTGTCGAGTGATAACATCCATTCTCCTCTTCAAAAACTTCTGTGAAACTAGCCCAAATTGCTTGAAAATCAGCTTGCTTCTGTGACCATGGGAAATGCACTTCAAAGGGACCCATTACGCTTAGAAACCGCACTCGTGTCGTCGGCTGTCTTGTCAATTTGCCCCTGAATCTGAAAGCGATACAGATGGAAAGCTGGCTTCTGTTTCTAGGGTTTGAACAAGAGTTTAGCAACAGAAGTCCACAGGTCTAGTGTTTTCTCATTGAAGAGATAAGATTTAAGTGCTTGAATGTGAGAATTGTGTGTAAATTTAGGCTGATTCATGCTGCCGTGCTGAGAAACAGCTTGTTCACCAAACAAAATGTATTTCCTATCAAATTGCTGCAGCTGTCTGAGTGCTACATTAAACTGTTGGATGATTGTGTAGTGTAGCTCTTTTCATGTTCTTCTGCTCTCTTTGTAGTGATTAGGGTTGAATTGGGGGATGATGAGGTCTGATTTGGCTTCTCGCTGGCCTATAGTATTGCCAATATAGATCCCCCAATTTAATTTCTTCAGCTGTGTACTCTTCTCTGACTCGCATGCACTAAATGTATCTAAATCTACTTCCTAGGGGAAAAGTGTTATTAGTGGAGGTCTGGATGCCTTGGAATTCATCGGGAAAAAGACAATGGATGTGATAGCTGAGGGAGACCCAGGTTTCAAGAAAACAAAGGGCCTAATGAGCAGGACCGCTACCCTGTCCCAGGTACGGCACTTCCGTATCAGCTCTTCAGGGATTTCTGTCACTTCTTTCTTTTCTTGTCGTGTTGTTGTTAATCAGCCATTTCTTATTTTCTTACTGCTGTGCCCAAACCCTTGTCCTCCCTTATTCTGTATCTTCAGGCACGGAGCTAAGTCCTCTGCTTTTGTTTTTCAGGTCTTACGAGAGGCAAAGGAGAAAGAAGAGCAGCAGACAGCCACTGAGGTTGCCATGGCGACCGAGAAGAAAGCCCATTATGGGCTGCTGTTTGATGAGTTTCAGGGTCTTTCGCATCTGGAGGCCTTAGAGATGCTTTCCAGAGAGAGTGAATCAAAGGTAATGGCCGTGAGCAATTTTCTCTCTATTTTGAGTTCAGCCGAGCATTTAATGAGAGAGAAATGTATGTACATACATGCAAAATCAAATACTGAGGAGTTGGGACTTGCTGCAAAACGATTGATTACACAAGTTTACCTTGACCCCCGAAATTATGATCCACTCTCTACCTTGGCAGCATTTTGCCTTGCCTTCAGCGCACACAGCCATTCTTTTTAACCGGCCAGCTTTTTTTTTCTCGTTTTTTTTTCACAGCTTATTTGCTGCCCTGAACTGGGGGAGAGGACAGCATCGTAGGGACAGCAGAAACTGATCCCTTTAACCTGGAGTGGGGAAGTTCAATGCACAATCTCAGAAATAACTCATTTTTTTCATAAAAGAAAACAAATAACTATTTAAGAATCCATTTTTTTTTACGTAAAGCAACTTTGCAAGCAAGTCTATGCTTTTTCTTTGCTGTAGAGAAATGCTCCTTTTTCACTAGTATGGCTCTTGATGGAAACCAGTCCTGCATCTTCAGTCTTGCTTTCCTTCTGTGTTAGATTTATGATTCTCTCTTTGACTGTCCTGCCCTGACTAGGTAAAGTTGGTTCTAAATGCCCTGTCTGGGAAAGAGTTGGACACGCTGAAGGAGGAAATGGAGCAGCTCAGAGAAGCATTTTCATTAGCTGAGTTCTCAGAAGAAGAGGAGGAAGAAAAGAGGGGTGAGAATCCAGGCTCTAAAATTCTCAGTGCAGAACCAGCCAGCTCCGAGATCACTAGCAGTGGGCATGATTAAGAGGTGCCTCCCTGTGCAAGAGCCACCTGAACTGGAGGATTATGTAGATTTAAATGCCAATCTCTTGCATTGCTTTTACCTAAATGGCTCATCAGGGAGGGCTCACACACCTGCACTTGCTGCCATTTAACATTTAATGCATCTTTTATATTTGCACATGATGGATCTCGCAGCCTTCCCCCCACTGTTAGCATCTGCCCTGTCATATATAACAGGAGAACCATTCACTTTGTGATGTTTTACACTCTCCAAGGTGAAGTTCAAGTTAGTGCATTATAAAATACAGGGTTTGCTTGGGTTAGACCACCTGTAAAAGTGAAATTACCTTAGCTAAAAAATCAGCTTTGTGATTTTTTGGCACTGGCGTCTCCATCTTTTCACACCTTGTAAATTGAATTAAAAACACTGCATTTGATGTGTCTTTGCCCACGTGAATGATTCAAGGTAATATATGAAATAGTTGATAGACTTTTGCATTGCTAATTGCGCATTAAAGTGCTGTATGAATATTTTAAACTTTCATTTCCTTTAGGAGATGAGGATTTCGTAAAGGAAGTAACAGAGCTGTTTTCAGAATTGCATGTCTCCACAAAGCCAGACAAGCTGATCATGGTGAGTTATTTCCCCTCTTCTTCCTTGTGGGAACTGCTTCTCAGTCCTGTTTGCTTGTGGAAGTGCTGAGGGCGTGAAGACCAACTGTGTCTTGGAGACCCAAAGGGGTGAGCCCTTTCCTTTGGCCTTACAGGACAAATCTCACATTCTCTGAAGTACTTGGCCCTGAGTCCATCAGTACCAGTGTGTCTGCCTTGTCAGGGGGTAATAATGTCCAGGGACAGACAGCTTGGATGAGTAAAGCTTCAGCCACTGCAGTTAAATGATCCTGCAGCCCTTATTGAACCCTGGTGTTGGTTCAAGGCAGCAGATTCTTCACTAAATCACTGAACAGTTGAGGTTGGAAGGGAGCTTTAGAGATCCTCTAATCCACGCCGTCTGCTCAGGCAGAGTCACCTAGAGCAGGCTGCTCTGTTCAGAAATTGGTGTGAGGAAACTCTCTGGTCTTGTGTTTTCTCCACTACCCTCCAGCTCCACCAAGGGGCAGCAGCATTCTGCAGGCACGGTTTGAAAGGGCTGCCACTAGTCCAGTGATGGCCTCACAGGTAGGCTGCAGTATGTGGTGCTACAAAAATGAGTGCATTCAAGTGTGTGAGATCCACAGCCAACCCTCCACAAAGTCCTGAAGGCTCCAGGATCATCTGTGCTGGTTCTTCTCTACAGCACAGGAGTAGTAGTAACCTCCTTCCTCCAGGCATATCGAGTACTCCATGCTTTGTGGCGAGCAGGAGGGCGTCATCCCAGGTATTAAATACTATGGCACATCCTCATCTAGGTGAGGACATCTGCTCATGAATGGATAGCACAATTCAACATGGATCTTTCCAAAAAAGAAGACAGTGAAGAAAGCCAAGCAGAACCCAGAGATGGTGAACACGATGCTGAAAAGTCAATAGAGGTAAGCAAGCAATGGAAAAAAGGGATGCTTAAGAGCAGATGGTTTATGTTTGCTATGTTATTGTTGTGGTCTCAAGAGCTTATGGTTTTGCATTTCTGAATTCTGAGGTCTGAAAGAGCAGTGTGGTGGTTGTATATTGTGTAATTTATTGGTTTTAAATAGTAACAGCTGCTAGATTTTGTATGGCACAGGGGATCATCTTAACTTTTGCAGGATATTCATGCATTTGCCATTAGAAGTCTGGCAGAACTGACAGCATGCTCCATGGAAATGTTTCACAAAACTGCAGCCCTGTTCCTGCATGGTCAGGAGAAAGATGTGACAGCCGCAGACCGGGCCAAGTCCCTTTCACAGTGAGTTTATCTCTTACCTGATACACAGCATATAATAGGACTTGTGCAGGACTCTCGAAATTCTCAAGCCTCTTGAATTCTGCATATACTACTATACTTTGCATCTCTGCTTTCCAGCAGAATTCAGCTGTCCATTTTCTTTCCAACTTAAAGGCATTTCATGGCAAGAAAGAGAAAAGTGAGGTGAAAACTTTCATAAATCCAAGAAGAGTATTCTTTTTGCCCTAAGCTTGTGCTAGATAGTCAGATGTACAGTATTTAAGATGTTAGAAAACAATTGTATTCTTAATTACCTCTTAATTGCCTCTTTACTAATCCTATAGCATATTAGGTATATGCTATTATGAAATATTTGACCAGTTAGTGGACTAATATTACTAGTAATACATGACACAAGAGGAGTTTTTTCTCTCTGTCAGGAAAAAGTATACGAAATTAAACTTATCTGTAATAAAGCAAGTTAGCATTGTTCCTTCTTGAATGGACATTTGTATTCTGTGAACAGTGTTTCTTTCAATTATTATTATGGTTTATTTTTTTGCCACATTTCCCATCTGTAATTTATTTTGGGAACTTCAGGATCCTCATACAGTGTTTAAATATTTTTGTATCAGTCCTTTATATGCATGGAAGCAAGATACTTAAGAGAAGCACAGAAAGAAAGCGATTTTCTATGGAAGGTGTTTTACTACGTAGGATTTCCACTTTTCCTCCACAGAATGACGATTGTGCTGTGTAAAGAACTCTCAGCTTTCTCCAAAGAGTTTACTACATGCTTAATGACTGCAGGGGTAAGTGTTACATCATAGTTCCTAAGGATATAAGATATTAGCTTATCACAGGCTTGGGTTTTCTCCACAAAGTGCTTCTTTGCTTGCTCATTAACGCATGCAGATGTTTGCTCTATGACCTGGTCTTCTAGATCAGTGTTCCCCAGACTGTGGCAGCTGGACGTATCCTGGGGCATTCAGGCTGGCTCAGGTGTGAAATGGTGCTGGCTGTGCTCATGAGGCAAATGAAAATAAGATTTCTGTTCCTGATGGACTTTTACAAAGCACTCGGGTGTTGCTGGGGATAATCCCTCTCTCTAAACCCCTCAGCTGTCCCCGGTTCGTTTCATGATGCGACGTGTGTATTCGTACAGGTTCTGCTTTGGGCTTGTGTGGGTTACTCCGGGCTTATTTGCATGCGACAGGGCAGATCCTCTGCAGCTTGTGGCTTGACTTTGCTGGCGTCAAGGGAGCAGTGGTGATTTTAAACTTGCTGAGGATTTAGCTTTATCTGCTTGAAGAAATGTGATCAAATTCTCAATCAGGATAATGTATGTCTGATCTTTGCAGGTCAAAGAGAAAGCAGATGTGCTTAATCCCTTAATCACTGGAGTGTTTTTGGAGGTCAGTTATGCTAAAGTTAAAACTTTAAGCTAATACTTTGAAAATAGATATGCTGGTTCTTCCACTTGGGTATCCTTTTGCATACCAAATTCTCTAACCCAGGTCTAAGGTTTAGGTTACCTGTCTCATAACCTACTGCTTTTAGTAAATGCCTAAAAGCAGAATTGCACAGGACATGAGTTGTTCAGTGAAGAGTGAGCTGTATTGTGGGCCTAGCTGGCAGTTAAAGGTCAGAAGATAGCGAATCTATTCAGCAGCCTGGATTTCCAGTGTTTCAGTGGAAACTGAGATGCCTGAAGTCAAACCTTAGACAAGGTCATAAATTGTTGTGTAGAAGTCCCAACACTTCCTAGCTGTTCTCCTACCTCTCACTGTTATAAACTCCTGAGGTGTGGTGGGAGGTGGGGGTGTCCCATGGTGGTAACTTCTTCCTCCCTGCTACAGCATGTCTCTGTTTCCCTTTGCAATAAATAGTTTTCATTCTTTGTCTAAAACACTACCCTACTTTTGGGCTGCAACAGGTCTTCTAAAGCAGCTTTAAATCAGTTGCTTTTTTTGTCTATAGCGGGATAAAGCCTCTCAAAAAAATTTAATAAAAACTACATTGCTATAATGAAGCCTAAAAGATGCAACAAGCAAGGCTTCTGTTTCTCATGTGCGTTAATCAATGTTGTCTGAAATGAATATGTGATTAGTAAAGCTAATTTGGTAGCATAATTATTCATGCATATGTTTTGATTTTGTTTTCATAGGCTTCAAACAGTGCTTCATATATCCAGGATGCCTTCCAGCTCTTGCTGCCTGTACTGCAGATCTCTCTTATCCAGGCTAGAACGGAATTATTGCAGCAATAAATAATCCTTCTCATTAAGAACTTTTTGACTTTCCCACTTCATACTTTCCATGCTGGAGACTGTTATAATGGCTGATATTAAGGGAAAAAGTTAAATCTGGTCACTGCTACTGCAAGAATGGTGTGTAAATGCAGGCTAACAACGACAGCTCTGCAGCTTTTTGAGAGATGAGATTAGCATAGTCCAGACTGGTGGGCAATGCGAGAGTCTTAAAGTGCAGACTGCTTCCCTGTTTTCATGGACTGTCTTTATCCCTTCCCTGCAATCCCTCTGCTGTAAGTGTTAATGAGCTTCTCGGAGAAGCTCTCTGGACTGTGAAGGGAATGCTGGAGAAGAGTAGCAGCTGGCTGGTTAAAGACTCAGCTAAAATGATGGTGTGATTTTTAAGTGAGACACATAATTAGGTTCCTAACAGCTCTTTGTTGGTGCTGAAATGAATATTGAATGGGAGATGCAAAGGAAATGCTTATGATTGTAAACCTTGCAATTCCTACGTTTGACTAAAACAGAGTGGATTCCTTATTCTTCATTGAAGCTCTGTTGCTAAAGAGACGTTACAGCTACTTGGAGATGTCTCTTAGTGACTCATGCATGTGGGACAGGGACTTTCAGCAAGGTCCAGTTTCTCCTCCTCTTGCAGAATGTTTGTTTCAGCACGAGTTGAGAAAATGCTGGTCTGGCCTGAAGAATGTGATTGCTTTGCTTTATAGCAATAAATATGAAGTGGTTAAAAGGGGTTGATTCCTGTTTGGGCAATTTAATGAGATAATTTAGCCTGGGGGTTCCCTTCTTTTAATGCAATTTGACATGTCAGTGACAGACTGTTCACAAACCCAGGTACCACTTTTCTTTCATTTCTGTGTAAAAATACTATAATGCAGTTCTCCTTGGAAGATGTATTGAAGCAAGGGGAGGGGGGAAAGTAATTTGACTCTGTTAGTGGGAGTCCTAATTTGTCTCAGAAGCTGTTCCACATATGTTTTTTTTTTCCTGTGAAAAATTCCCCACTTTGTTCCTTTTTGCAATTTTTATCTTTCGAGCTTCCCCACTGGGAGAGAACAGCCTCTGCTGGAATCAGAAGAGCAGAAAAGTACAGCTTAAATGGGACTGAAAGAAGTCCAGAATAGCTAACCATGGGTGGCTGCCTATCACACCTGCCTCTGTATTTGCTCATTGGTAACAATGATGCTCAAATCCCATTTTTAAAGTCCGCTGGGTTTTAGTAGGTCTTGCAAACTTCTGCTATACTAAAAGCTTAGTGTTCCTCTGCTCTATCTGTGAAGTAGGGAAGTGTTTTTAGCACTAGAATACTAAATACTTTTTGGCTAAAGCTTTTCTGATATGGAAAAATGTTTGCTTTATTTCTGGCTAAGTTATGCAGATCTCTGAGAAGGCCTTTTTCTTTTTTTAAAGAAAACTCAGCTTTAAAGAGGTGTGACTCGGAGTGGGGGGGAATCTGCACTACAACAAACTATATTTTCTACCTTGTTTGTGTTAAATTACATTATTAAATTTGTTTTGACAACTCTTGGTTGAGAGCAATCGGGGTATTTCTGGGAGAAGGGGAAGCAGGGCAGGGTGTTTTTGTCTTCCTGTTTGTGGTGGCTGCTTTGGGGGCTCTGTGTTTACCTCCCCGCGTGCCGCGTCCCCGGCCGCTCCGTGCTGCTCCGGGGCGCGCGTGGCCGGGAACGTCTCGCGGAGACGCGGGGCAGCGAGAGGAGCGTGGCCCTTCCTGCCGAGCTCTGCGTTCCTGCAGCAGCACAAAACCCCAGCTTTGCTGCTCCTCACTGCAGGCCGAATACGCAGAAACACCTGCACAAATAAAGATAATGCAGTTTATGACACGGCAGCTGCTTTTTCACTGGTAGTATCTACTCAAGCTAGCCTGTTCTGCTTGATAGAACAGGCTAGGATAGAGAAGTCTAACAATTAAGGGTAAAAAATCATTTCCTTTCGGCATACAGGTGATGATTCTGCCAGTCGTATGCTCTGCAGGATTTTGTTACAGCAGCAAATAACCAAACGTGCACCGGCTTCCCTTGTGCCAATACAAGGGCTGCAATAGATTACCAACAAAAACAGTTAGACAGTTGCTGAAATCTTCCCACCCAAAGGATTCCTCAGAATTCAAAAATCCCACTGACAGGAGGCCTCGTTGTTTGGCCCTGCCTTGCACATGAACCTAATGAGAGCTGGCAGTAATTTGAGCACTTCTGCTGCTGTCTGGGGAGATGAGAGGCGGCTGAGAATGGGTAACAGTTAGCTAAGATGCTACCAGTGTCTGCGAGGGGATAAAAGCCTGTGACAATTATTTTCTTTGGAGAGAATCTGTTATTTGCAGCTGTAAAAGCTGCTGCTTGGCAGCTGCTCTGGATAGGTGTAAAAACAGAAGGCTGGGAGCTCCCCATTACAGCTAGGGACTTGTTCCTTGCACTTGCCCAGACAGATTTCAAGGGACTCGTTATTATCATTATTGTCATTATTACATATGGAGCAGCAGCAGCAGCTTGGATGCAGGCTGGACGAGCCGTTGTCTGGCTTGTTTGGAAGAGACAGTGGCCACAGAGGACCGGG